AGCTTTTTTTTTGTTTTTTTTTTTTTTTTTTTTTTTTTTTTTTTTCGTTTTTTAAATTCTTATAAGGACCAATCAAATACCGATTGGTCACTCTTTTATTTTTTTTGGTAAATACCGATTGGTCACTCATAAATTCAAAGCGTGTTTACTACTTCGGAATTGAAAGATAGGAAATAAATTCTAAGAATAAAAAAAAATGTTCCGTGAATACCCAAAACACCGCATGTGTTTTGTTAAATACCACTCTTGCTCCCTCTTATTATGTAAATACGCAAAACACTGACTATGCTTATAATAACAGACTTAAAATACCACCTGAAACAATTAAATTTTTTAAAATGCCAAGATAATCCTTCCCGATCTTTATAGAAAACAATTTAAAACATTACTAAACCAAAATATGAATTAAAATTAATCTTAAAAATAAAAAACTCTTAAAAAATTCAATTATTTTTGAAGGTGTTTTGGGTCTGTTTTTATAAATGCAAGGAGTGCTTCAGGTTTATCTCCTTGATTCCAAACTGAGAAAAGGAATATATTCGCTTGGTGGCTCAAGCAGCAAAACACACAACATGGACTCATTTTGTATCCCCCATTTATTTAAGATTGTGAGCTTTTATGTTCTATAATAAACCTTTTTTTTTTTTCATTTTTTCTTTTTTTCAAGTGCCCATCTCTTTTATTATCCCTACTCTCCACCATCCTTTTTTTTTTTTTTTTTTTTTTGAGATAGAAAAGATTCACTCTCCACCATCTTTTTAAGTGAGCAATATTTATGCATTTGATTGACTATACATAATACATCCAACTATATGATGTATGCAAAACTGTTTTTCAGCATGATTTCTTCACATGATAATTTCTTTTTCTAGTTTAAATACTTTCAATTAATTATAGGATTAGAGATAAGTGCTACAAAGGCCTTACGTGGTTCATGTGTAGAAACTGAAAAAATAAAATATAAAAAAAAACTCAAGGATATACATTCAGAATCTTGTTATTTATTTATTTAATTATTTCCTTTTGGTGTTTTTAGTTTTGTTCATTCCATTTCCTCCTAATTATTATTCCTGACTAGACCAGGATAATTTTAAACAAATGGAAGTCCACGTCAGAGACATCGCCGAAATTACCAAAAGGGTCTCCAACTTTCCTCAATTTACTCAAATAACGCAACTCCAAGACAAAAGACAGTAAATTGCATTCTTTTATACCCACAGCTTTTCATTTTTTTGCATAATTTTCTCCACTTTCAATTTTAATAAATTACAACCTCAACTTTAAAATATGTGGCAACTCAGGTCTATCACTAATGACCATTATCAAATCGATGCTTTGAAACTCGGGATTTGTACATAAAAAGATAAAGTTTAATAGATTTTAGATCAATGTAAATCTCGTGTCTCATCTAATCAGTTAATTTAAGTTGGTTCATTTTATCAATTTAATTTTAAAATTTAAATTTTATTATAATAAAATTTTTTTAAAAATAATGATATTTAACTTTTTTTATTATAATAAAAAATTTTTATATAAAATCACATCTCAACTTAAATAAGCGAACTAAACAGACTCTTAATAACATCTATACTTTAACTATTACTAATTTAAAAAATAAGAATGCAATTTGTTAAATAAGCGAACTAAACAGACTCTTAATAACATCTATACTTTAACTATTACTAATTTAAAAAATAAGAATGCAATTTGTTAAGTAGACGTTTGATTTATAGATTCAGAATCATTCTTAATTTATATGTATTTTTTATAAAAAAAAAATACTATACTGAATTACGAATTATAACACAAATCCACTGATCAAACACAAGAGTCGTTTATATACTCGGACTCAAATAATTATTTATTTTATAACTTCTTTAAACACAAATACAGAAAAAGAAACCCATAACTTCTTTAACACGCACCATCCTCTCCTGTTTCCGATCGATCTGCCATGGCGTTGCTCTTGAAGAAAGCCCTCAGAGAAGCTGCTAAAAACAAGTCATTTTCTTCCCACCATTTTCAAAGCTTGTCTCTTTCTGCTTCTTTCTCTGCAGTTTCTTCTTCTTCTTCTTCTTCTGAAGGTGATCAATTAGCTGTTCTGCCACGGTTTGATTACGTGCCGAAGCCGTACAATGGCCCTCTCGCTGACGAGGTCTTTCGGAAGAGAAAAACGTTTCTGGGTCCTTCGCTGTTCCACTACTATCAGAAGCCTGTAAGTTTTTTGTTTTTTTTATTTTTTTTATTTGTTATTTATTATTTTTTTTTAAAACGGAGGGGTTATTCTTTTATATTTTTAAGTTAGGATGACTTGAGTGATAATTTAAGTTAAGTTTGAGTTATAATTTAAATTGAAGTTGTAATTTGAGTTTGTATTTGAATGTGTATATTTGAGTTATGATTTAAATTGAGAATCTTTTTAAGTTTGTATTTAGGTGAGTTAAAACTTAAATTTATATTTATATAATATTTTAATAAAAATTTAATGGTGATGAAAAATTTTAATAGGGTATATGTATGAAGTTTTATTCGTCTTTTCGTTGTGAATGCATAGAAAAAAAATCAACTTAATCAAAATTAAAACGAAAAAGTTATGAAATTTTTAAGAATAGAAGAAATATTGTTAATTAATTTGAATTTGAGTTTATGAACTCGAGTTGAAGAGAAAATTTGAACTCGAGTTCAAACCTGAGTTTAAACTCAAATTTTACAAAAGAAAATGAACTTAAATAAAGTTGTAACTCTGAATTTTGTTGCAAAAGAACAATCCCGGAACGTGTAGCACGAGATTCTTTGGAAAGAGGGTCTGTTTTCATAAATTGGGCATGTATTACATTTGAAATTAACTAATGATCTCTCTCTCTCTCTTCATTTTGTACTTTTTACTGTTTGATTGATATGATCTATGATATCTGTTGTTGGGCTTATGAGAATGACTAGTTTGATGATCTTTTCGGCTGCTCAGAAACCAGGAAGAAATATAGAACTAACCCAAATGTGAATAAATATAATCTCTTTTTACGTTGTTATTTTCCCCTTCTTTTTCTGGGAAATTTGATGGTTATTTTATTTAGTTAGATGTGAGGTTATTTTGTACAAATTCAGTTGAACCATAAACTCCCCACCCCCCAAACCCCCTGATTTTGTTTTTTGTATGAAAATAGAAATGAAAATGTTTTCAATCTCAAGTGAATTTTGTGTTAATATTTTGCTCAGTTTAAGGACATGTTAAAAATTAAAATGATAAGATTTCTACTCTAAAGTTTAATAAAAACTAAGGGCCCGTTTGTTTCACGCATTTAAAACTATGATTTTGATTATGCTACAATACCTTTCTCTCACAAAAAATTTGAATAAAAAAAGTTCTCGCCAATGGTTCTCTCATAAAATTTGAATTCATAATTAAAATCACTACCTTAGACACGTGAACCAAACGGACTATACGAGAATTAGACTGTTTGTTAAATGCTAGAAAGGGAATTAATGATTTTGTACATTTCAAACATGCTTTGCAGCGTGGATCGTTGTAGGAAATGGTCTCCACTTCCGTTTAGTTCGCTGATTCGAGGTTTTTAATTCAAGTTGAGATATGATTTTATGTGAGAGCTTTTTACTGTAGTAAAAAAGTTAGATGTAATTGTTTTTAAGAGCTTTTTACTGTAGCAAAACTCGAATTCTAAACTCGAATCGGTGAAATGAACGGGGCCTCTTTTTTCTCCCATTTCCTCTAGAACTTTACTTAATATACTGCTCTATTAGGATAATCAGAAGGTTTTTCTTTTTAGCTAAAATTTGATGATGATTACAGCTCAATATTGTTGAGGGGAAAATGCAATACTTGTTTGATGAGAACGGGAAGCGCTATCTGGATGCATTTGCTGGGATAGTAACCGTATCCTGTGGACATTGCCATCCTGATGTTCTAAATGCTATTATGGAGCAAAGCAAGCTTCTTCAGCATGCCACCACCATATACTTGCACCACGCAATAGCTGATTTTGCAGAGGCATTAGCGTCAAAAATGCCTGGAAACCTCAAGGTTATTACTAGTTCTTTTTTTTTTTCCATTTTTTTCTTACATATGATAAAAAAAAAATGATTCTACTGATGGTATAGATATGATGTTTGCACTTTTATTGAGTTTGGTACATATTTAAAGCCTTTGCTTAGAGATTTCAGGTAATACTTATTTGGTGCTGTTTTAATGTAACCATTGGTTGAGAATTATTGGACACGGCTCCTTCGTGCTTGGAGTTGGGACCTTAAGTGTTATGCTGCATATCATGATTCGTTTGTTATTAAGGAAATTAATTCGCCGTTACTCTTATGATTTTCTTTCATTATCTCGCACTTTCTTTAATAATATAAATGAGATATATGCGTTCTTAAAAGCATCTGAATCAGAGTTTATTTGTGAAGTAAATATTTAAGAAGACTTTTTAAATGCAGGTTGTGTATTTTGTGAATTCCGGGTCAGAGGCGAATGAATTAGCTATGCTGATGGCCCGTCTCTACAGCGGTAATCTGGGGATGATTTCGTTGAGAAATGCATATCATGGGGGAAGTTCTAGTACTATTGGATTGACAGCTCTAAAAACATGGAAGTACCCAATTCCAGAGGTCTGTATGTATACACCTGATATAGCTTCAGACAATGCTATCATAAATCATGGTAATTTCAAAAAAAAAAAAAAAAAAAAAAACTTAAATTCATAAGACAAAATATTAGTTACTTAGAAAACATATTATAAATTGAGTTCCAGGGAACGTCCTAGAAGTGATTTTGATTTCTTTGTCTAACTTCTGGCGAATGTAATCTGTTTAATCAAGTTTTCAATGAACTTTGTGTGCATGTAAATTGTTACTATCTGAGACAAATCATGTGACGTTAACTGGATTTTTGGTTGCATATAAATCTGTGCTACAAACAAGACCTCTGATGTGCCTGTGTTGTTCAGGTTTTTTTGTTGATAAACAGTAGGTAACAATTCTAGCAAAAAAAAAAAAAAAAAAAGTAGGTAACGAAAGCATTGTATGAGATAGCTATGCATTTAAATGTTACCTGCTTCAAAATCTTTAAAATTGTATTTCTACCAAATAATGATGCTTTTCATGCTTTGTAAGTTGGATTTTGATTTCTTAATATCTTGTTATCTGTAAAATAGTCATGATATATTTGTTAACTAAACTTGCTTGTTGATTTATGTAACTCACTTGTAACATAGGAAAACATGAACTTGTCATAAATTGTGGAAATTCGCTCTCTTTATGTGTCTCGATTTCTTTCTTGTCTATCATTGTAAAACTATTTGTCTAAGAAAATAACTTAGCTGGATGAGGCAACTATTCTGATTTATCTGCTCAAAACTGCTTGGACAATATGCAGGGTGAAATTCATCATGTTGTAAATCCAGATCCGTATCGAGGAGTTTTTGGCTCCGATGCAAAACTTTATGCAAAAGATGTCCAAGATCACATAGATTATGGTAGTTCGGGACATGTCGCTGGATTTATAGCCGAAACAATTCAGGTTGGTGGTTATTCTGTTATCTGGTGACACTGACAGGTCTAAAATTGATCCATATATTCACTCTGATTGGACTATGTGTAGTTCTAAACCATTTTACCTTGGTTTTCTAACTTAAGGGAGTTGGAGGCGCAGTTGAATTGACCCCCGGATATTTGAAACTAGTGTATGACATTGTTCGCAAGGCTGGTGGTGTCTGTATTGCTGACGAAGTACAAACCGGGTTTGGCCGTACAGGAAGCCATTACTGGGGTTTCGAGACGCAGGGTGTCATTCCTGATATAGTTACAATGGCAAAGGTCTCTAAAACTATTGTTTTCTGTTATTTTTAAATCATGTGATTTATATGTTACGTATTCAACGTTCATACCTATGATTTGGCTTTTGAATTTCTTTACGACTTGTGTGGCTCTTCAGTTACATTCCTTGTCATTGTTCAGGGTATAGGAAATGGTTTACCATTGGGCGCTGTCGTGACAACACCGGAGATAGCAAGCGTTCTCACGCAGAGGATTCTATTCAACACTTTCGGTGGGAATCCTGTTTGTTCTGCCGGAGGGCTTGCAGTACTCAGAGTTATTGACAAGGAGAAGCGCCAAGCTCATTGCAACGATGTTGGCTCTCACTTGCTTGAGCGTTTGAGAGCTCTTCAGGAAAAATACGAAAGTAAATACTCTTAAAACTTGTGATTTTAAAAGCTTTCTTTATAATCTTGGTCACTTAGCTTAGAATTTTTTTTTTTTTCCCTTGGCACTAACTGGACCATCTAGTTTCCCTTGATCTAAGTGTAGATCAGCTGATGAGCGCACTTTTTTCAGTGTAAGTCAAGGCTGTTGTGGACATTAGAGAGATGCCCCACCAAGCTGTTTGAGTTGAGCATTTAAATAAAAAGTAAAATAAAATAAAAAAGAAAAAAGAAAGAAGAGCGAATATTGACTTATTATATGGATCACTTGAAAAAAATGCATTTGTTTGGTTAAACCACGACCATTCCTCCACATTTTTCAACTTACCTCCTTTCTCTGTGGATTGTTACGGAGATCTTCTTACTTGAATGTGAGTTTTTCCCATTTCTTTTTTCAGTCATTGGAGATGTCAGAGGCAGGGGATTAATGGTGGGGGTAGAACTTGTAACTGACCGAAAAGAGAAGACACCTGCCAAGGAAGAAACCGGTGTTCTGTTCGAGAAACTAAGAGGTATCAAATATACGCTTTCTCCGAGCCAAAAAATCAAAATTAGAAAGCTATGTTTAGCATTTAAAGTTGCATTTGTCTCCCTCCATAATATCCTACTAACATTCCGTTGTGTTTCCTGATTGAAGAGCTAGGAGTTCTACTTGGGAAAGGAGGACTACATGGAAATGTTTTCAGAATCAAGCCACCAATGTGCTTTACCAAAGATGATGCAGGTATTCATCTTTCCTCCTTAAACCGTATGGCACATGTCTCAAACTAAGCCCTCTTAAAACATCTCCAATATAAATGCTAATGCTGATACTATGTTTGACAGGAAAAAAAGTGTAAAAACGGCATATTTAATATGTAACACTATTTTGTGCTCCAATGTATAATGCTGGTTTAAATACTATTGGCCTGTTTAGTTCGCTGATTTGAATTTTTAATTTGAGTTGAGATGTAACTTTATGTGAGAGCTTTTTACTATAGCAAAAATGTTAGATGTGACTATTTCTGAGAGTTTTTTAATGTAACATAACTCGAATCGGTGAAATGAACGGGGCCTATATCTACTTTATTGTCATAAATTTTAATTTTGGTTCTAACTGAATTGAAAATGGCAATGTTGGAAATCATTTAAAAAAAAAAAAATTCAATTAATGGCAACAAAATGCCAAATTTTGGCCACTGCTATATATCAAATTTGACATTTAAGTATAGCATTGCATTGGAGGGTGATTTGCTAATGAACATGATTTTGGCTCCTGACAGATGCCAGATTACATTTGTTCTTTTGGGGTTGGATTATGCGCTTATACTTTACATGTTTGTCCCTGCAGATTTTCTTGTGGATGCTTTGGACTACGCAATCTCAAAGCTGTAAGCTTTGTCAAATGTTGAGCCACAAAGGTTATCTACTTTGTAAAGTCCTTTTCTTCAAGCTCTGTAAACAACTTGTAAACCTTGAACTAACATCAAGTGTGTACTTGTGGGAGGGTCCAAGCTCATTTAATAAAATGCTCTCATTCAAAAAAAAAAAAAAAAAAAAAAATAGGAATCTTTTTTGGTACGTCAACATACCGGTAGATTATGTTTTTAGTCTGTCGGATCTGTATAAAATTACGTAAAAGTTAAAAAATACGCAAATTTAACGGTTATAAAAACTTGGCTACTGATACTTCATGCATACCAGAGAATCTCTCAAAAAATTAATAAAATGAGGAGAAAATGGAGATTTTTTGATACACCTGGCGTATCGATAGGTCAGATTTTTTTAACTGTTAAATTTACGTATTTCTACGTGATTCTTGTACCAACACAAACGGCACACCTGAGGCATGTAAAATATTTGTGAAACGTTAGTTCATTTCAAGATTTTGGTTCAAATCATTTGAACTTATGTACTCGAATCTGTTTATTTTGCGGGTTCGACTTAAGAATTTAAGTTTTAAAAAAAAGAATTTACGTGAAAGAAAATATAAACAACGTTGCTAATATTGTTTTTTTAATACAACGTGAGATCGAACCCACTTCTCAAACCTCATGCCCATTGAAAAACCTGCGTCACTATCGATATTTACTTTTTCTGCTCAAAAAAATGATTGCAAATCTAACGCATATTTACTTTTTCAACTCAAAAAAATGATTGCAAATCTAACGCATATTTACTTTTTCCGAAAATATTGCAAAAATTTGAGCATAAATATTCATAACGTATCCATACAAGTTTTAAAAAAAAAGTTTTTTTTTTTATAGTTCATCTTATCAGTAATTTTAATTTTTAATAATTTATTTTGATTAAAATTATATCACATTAAATAATAATATATAAATTATGATACAAATTTAACAATTAAAAAATTAAATACTACATGTAATTTATTTTTACCATACAAAGAATAATATCTTTTTTGTACTTCCTCTGATATTTGTTAATAATTTTCAAGTATTTTCTAACATCAATATCTACGTTGATATTTTCATAAATTTAAAACCTCGATATAACCGTGGACACCAATATTCCAATCAATCACCATCATTCTGCTATTTACAGCTAAACATACGGTTTTTATGGATGTGTAGAACATCCAATAATTTACAATATTCAGGCAAGTTTTGTAAATTACAAACAGGCCACTAGAATAAGGATTAATGAAAGAAAAAATAAAATAAAATAAAAAATAAAGGACTTTGTTCTTCGGTGTAGCTCTCATCATCATCAATACTTTTACTATACTTCTCCCAAAAAAAATTAAATATATGTTTAAATTTATGAACTTCAGAGTAACCAAACCCAGTTTTGCCTTTGAGCGCAACACAACCCTTTTTTAGGAGCCCTCAGCACTGCGCGACTAGAAATTCACTTTTCCATGGTCCTAAGAAGCGACAATAAATATGCACAAATTAAGATATGTAATTGAAATTTCCATCAAAAAGAGGTTTGGAAATAAACCAGAGTATTTGAATTAACTAGCCATTACATAAAACAAATATCTGGGATTAAGTTCTCAGTATCTGTCGTTTCCAAAGCACAAAGAAACAACGCTCTATTTTTTGTCGTTTCAAAGCACAAAGAAACAACTTTACATTATACACAACAAGATATATGCAAAATGCATTGAAAATACAGAATATCTACACGACATGCTTTGCTTCTGTAAACTAGGGATGAAAATCCTAAGAATGTACTGTCTTCATAATAATTTACAAAAAGCATTTGAGATTTTTCAATTTACTCACAGACCAACTCTTAACAAAATGGCTAATTCATATGTACAATTTTTCTCAGATATATTGGAGGCTGCTTGAAAAATGCCAGCAGCTTAGAAGACTTTTGTCTACATTACTACGTTTTTCAATGGGCATTCAGCAAAGACTTTTGTCTACAAAGACTTGTCGAAGCATGGCTCGGGCAGCGACTGTGTTTATTGTTTCTGTTTTGAGCTTTGCTCGTGTCTTCTATCAAGGTAAAGACTCTAAGCAGGTTCACGAGGACGGGTAGCCCAAAGCGAACTCAAAGCCCAGAGGCGTTGGAAGTACTCCCCCATGGCAAGCAGCCCTCTCGCTGCTTGGCGGGTCGTTAAGATACGGGACATCTGCTGCAGGGTTTCCTGTCGAAGATGGTCGGCCTGTTTCGGCAAATCATCAATTGGTTAGGAAAAATGTGACATTCAGAATGTTCAGCTACAAATCCCAAGTACAGCAAATAATAGAACCCTCCAATAAATATTTATATCCCACAAATTCAATAGTCCAGAGAAAAGAGTTCAGTAATCTAGGATGGCAAGAGAATAGAAGGTGCTGAAGGAGAAATCTGATTCAAAATGAGGTTGCTTATTGACAAAGGCATGTCGTTTAAATCTGATTCAAAATGTCATCCTCTTTCAAAATCATGTTTCTGACGCAGAAATTTGTCAAAGAACGGTGGTGTTTGGACCAAAACAACTTTTATTGCATTGAAAAAACCATTGAAAACTTTTATTTACATAAAAAATAATAATAAAATAAACCCATTTAGGGGGTGATATTAAAACAATGCTTTTAAAGAAGCACACTGCAATCTTAAAAATTCGAAGATGAGTCAGGAAACGTTTTAAAAGTTTGTTACTAGTGGGAACTTTTGTAAACAAAATATCCTATACAATTAGCATTAAAGCAGCATAAACTGACATATTTGAGATGATTTCCACGGCTTTTTTCTTCTTTATTTTTTCCTAGATACACTTCATAATTACTTTTGTTTGATAAGAAACAAATTCTATTACAATTGAAAGGTTACACTGAAAGTAACACTTTGAGGACAAGAAGTTCTCAAAGAGAAAAATACACTACATAATCACTACAACTTTTGAAAGAAAACATTCGGCGGTACTTTTTAGTTACTGGAGGCTTTTTTTTCTCTCAAACAGATAGAGGGCGGGTGAGTACTAGAATGAAGGAATGCTGCAAATGATAGGTTGCTTTTGTGCAATGTATGCTTGTAATATTCGGATACGAAATATTCTAATTTACTTTAAATATACACGAACTTTCATCAACAGCCACCATACTAGAGAGCCAACACTAAAGAAGTTATGTCAACATATATTTACCCTTTTGACTTTCATAGGCTCTAAATGGCTGCTTACATGGCTTGAAGAAATTACTTCTAAATCAGCATAAGTCTACAGAGTTTAAGGTGCTAGAAAAAAACCAACTCCGAAGGAAGGAATGAAGAAAAAATATGCATAATATATATATACACACACATATTTATATAAGCTAGCTACAAGTTTAAGATGAAAAATTGGAACTGAAACATTTATTATGCATTCGAAAATAAGCAATGTCTTATTACCTGGTTCAGAAAGCTCACGAGAGCTTCTAACTTCTCCATAGCAGTACCCATTTGCGGGATATAACTTCCTTCACCTAGCTGACCTGCAGCTACAGTCTCGGCTAACGTTTGCTGGAGTTTTTCCATGCCTTGAGAAAGAGCATCTTCTGCTTGCTGACATGATTGTCTTAGGTTATAAACATCCAGAAGTTGCTGATCTGTCAATGGTTCAAGATGGGGCCCAAGAACCTGTAACCGACACAAATCTATGAACTAAGAAGGAGAAGAAGAATGAAAACACGCACACATTGCAAAAACAAAAAGAGCTCTATGTGTTAAGAGTATTGATATTTACATCGATGATTATATTCGTATCATACAGCACCTTAAGCAGTTCCGAAGGTCGGAACCCTCCAATCCACAAGAAAAACCTTTCAGCAGATGTCTTCCACATTCCAGACATCACATAGAACACGTCGGCTTTCGCAGCAGTTGCTTTCATACGGAAAAGGTCGAAATAGTGGCTCATGCCACTATCTACCAACATGCGAAGCTCTACATCGCTTATATGCGCATGCAAAGCTGTCCTCAGTTCACAAATCAGTCTATTTTGTTCTTCCACCCAATGTCCATACTCCATCTCAAACGCAGCTATCCCTGCAGACCGTGATGTCCTCAATTTTAGAGCAGAGGAAATGAAAATGAAAAGGTATTTGGAAAGAAGAAAAACATACAACACAAGGCGAAACACAAATATAACACCAAACAATGTAAACAAATCAAGGTTAAGGTTAAATGTTAAGCTTCTTTGCACTTTGAAACTTTCATGTTACAAACACAAATTGCAGTTAAAAATTTAATGACTTTATGAGAAACATGAAGAATGCAAGAATTCTGGTGCAAATGTTGGACATAATCATCCATTGGGAGACTGTATTCCCACATGTTGAAGGACATGTGCAATATGGTTTCGAAATGACAGAATTAAAATGAAACTAAGCTTGTCATTGGTTAAAGGATCAAGCAGCACATAAAAAATGACAATTATCTCCAAGTTTCAACTAATAGTGCTAAATGCTAATTAACTAGTCACATAAGGGACTTAATATTTTCCTAGAACTCAAATTAATTGATCGAGTTGATACAATTGACGATGAACAAACTAACTGGTCAATATCAACAGTTAAACTAAAAAGAAACAAAAGCTCCCTCCCTAGTCTGCTACAAACAAAAACTTCAAGTCAACCTCTTAATATACTAAAAAGAAAAGCACTGATCACTTCAAATGAATGCTAAACAAGAAGAAATAAAACTATACGGAATACAGTCAACTTATTTGGTCTCTTACTCGGGGAATAAATTATGAAGAAACTCCAACAATGCAGAACTTCTCAAATCTCATTGGACTATCATATTATAGAAAAATCATATAATTTGGAAAACATGCACACGAGAGATAAAAGCAAAGTGTCATGGCAGCCAGAATTAACAAACCTGAGTTCGCAGTTCCTGAGACACCCAGAGGATTAGCATCTAATCCTCCACCACCAACATAGAGACCCTGTAATTTAAAAAAATAAATATATAAATAAATAAACGTGAATAATTTTACAAGGAAAAAGTTTAATGTTTTGCTCAAACTCTAGCCTCTTGGTTACCTTTTTCTTTTTGTTGCTAACAGATTTAGTAATGGATTTAAAAAGCTACAAGTAAAATCATCTCATACTTACTTGTTTCCTGGCTCGCTCAAGCTCTTGCTCTAACTGAATCAGCTTTAAACGGCTTGTTTCTAACTGCTGTACATAGGCCTACACACAAAAAACTCAAATCAAATTAATCTTTTATATAGCTTTCATTGACAGCATCTCATCCAAGGCACACCCCCTTCCTACCTTCTTTCGCAAACGACTTTTACGAGCAGCCTCCCGATTCTGTGCAAGTCTTCTCTGAACCTGCAGTTTTTTGGAATAGAGTTCTGTCATTAGGAAATGCGTATCTATATTATGCCTTGAACAAAGGCATAACGATTGCTACCTTGTCTGCAGGTTTTGTGGTTACTTCTTGGTAATATCTTTCAGAAGGTCCCAAAATTCCATTCGAAGTATCTTCTGACTACATAAGGCAAACAAGACCAAAAAGGTTAGCTCAACATTATACATAAAAAAAGAATGTTTGAATATGGATTTCAAACATTTGAACCTGGTCGTTTAGTTTCACATCCTCCTCGACGATTATGGGAGCCGGCGCGCTTAAATTACCGTTGCTTTTGAAGGTTTCTCCCCACATGCTCATCTGATGGATAGGCTCATATGCCCCCATCCTTCCTGAGGTGACAAATTGAGCTGATGTGGAGTTCATGCTCATTTAACTGAGAAGATGAAGCATAGCGAAAATTTCAGCATAAACAAGAAACGACAAAAGGAGAGAACAAAAACTAGACATTAATGGCCATGAATATCAAATTGAAAGAAGCGTCCTTATAAAACAATGGAGTTCTAGTAATTGACGCTGAAATTGGCGTATCAGCAACAATATTAACGAGCCAATGCCTAACAGTAGTCCAAATTCGACCGAGAAGAGAATCGACAACAAGAGTAGAAAGGACAACATTCTTGATTCAGGTAAATATGTTCATAATGTCATGTTGAAATCCATAAATCTCTAATACCCCAATGCCTTTATCAATAAAAAGCAAGTGGGCTTGCTACCATGGTATGAATAAGAACAAGTGAACGTCCAAAAATAGCAACAAAAACGACAACATCGTAGGAGGACAAACGAGGTATCAGAAATTCATGCTTCAGACACAGTATTGAACTTCGAAATTATCAAACATCAAGAAATATAAGAGAAAAAAAAAAAAAAAAAAAAAAACCAATAAGATTTCAGTGCAAAAGGCATGAAACAAGTTTGTCTTCAAGAAACCAATATAACTCGGTGGAATCTGACCAGTTCACGACTGTGATTTTCAAAGCCAAGTGAATTATACAAAACTCACACACAAGAAAAAAAAAAAAGGAAATTAATAATAATAAACCCAGATGCTGAAAATCCGAGTCTGTTTCATTCGCTTGTGTTATTCTTCTTGTCTTACTCCATCATCCCCCCCACCCAAAGAGAGAGAGAGAGAGAGAGAGAGAGAGAGGAATAAGAGTATCACAGAAGGAAAAACAGAAAACTGATGCCAAAGCTCAATCTTTCCTTACGTGTTTTCGTTAATTCCTTCCAAGTTTCATCAGCACATAACGAAACTCGAAATACACAACTTCTTGCTAGAAAACAGAGAAAAAAAGAAACTTTAAAACCTTTACAATTTTTACACACACACACACAGATATATATATATATATATAAATTAAATACACACACACATATACATACAGATAAGCTATACAGTACACAATACGTATGCACTTTCTGAGTATATACCTCTTAAGAAAAACATCACTTAAAAAACGCAAAACTCTTCACGATTGTTTTCTCCGCATCCAACACAGAAAAACAAATGGAAAATCAATCAAAACAAAAGAAAAAAAAAGGCTTGAAAAGTGAATTTGAAGACCTATGATTTTCCGTGGAAGTTCAAATTCCGAGAAGTGGAAGCAAAACTATGGAGAATTCCGAATCCCAAAAACCCTAAAAAGTCTCATCGTCTCTCGCGGGAGAATAATAAGAGAAGGGAACATTCACGACAGCTTAAAAGAGGAAAACTTTGAAATTAAAATAACAATTATCGTCAGTATCAACTATATAATAATTATTATTATCATTTACTATTACAATTATTGTTATAATCCGGGAATAATTAAATGTTTATTCGTTTGTTGTTATTTGAGAAAAAATTGTATTTGTGTTCCGACTGTGAAACCATACTAAGAACGAAAAATTTTAGAGAGAGAAAGGAGAGAGAGAGAGAGTCAAAGCTTGCTCACAAATGAGCTGAGGAGTCGTAATCGTCATCTTTCCACTACGCCCCTTTTCCTAATGTGCGCACCAGGTGGATCGGGTTCTCTGCGCCACGCTTCTTAACCTGCGCACCCCACCCAAACACAAGCCCGCTGACGTCATTTCCCGGCGGATCTTCCGCTGGATAGGATTTTGGGTCCACGCTCTAAGGGAGCGCGTGGAAAAGGTTGTTTGGGCGTTGGTTTGTTAAAAGCGCGGGAAGGTGAGCAAAGCGCGTGGTATCACGAGCTTTGGTGTGCGTGTGGGGTCGGACTTCCGATCTCTTTATTTTTTTTATTTTTTATTTTTTCTCTTTTTTGTCTGAAAAGTTTTTGAGTGGGAATAGTAATGGCCATTTGAGATCCACAATTCTACAATATTGTCCACTTGAGGCCTAACTTGGGAATTTTAGAATCTCTAGGGACGTAGGAAGGTAAAAAAAAGTGTGGCATTTTTATGCGTATCTTTCTTTTTTTTTTTTTTTTTAATTACAAAAGTGGATAGAATATGGAATCCTGAAAAAATAAATTCACCTTTTAAGCAGAAAATCGGTTAAATTTTGATTTTTTTTTTTTCTAAAATAAAAGTATATTTGGGTGTTTCATTTTTGACGTACTTTGAAAAGTTTACTGGCATAGTAGATACTCACTCAAGTATATATATAGTCAGAAAATAAGACACTGAAAAAATAAATTCAAAGATAAATTTTCATATATAGAAATGGTTTTTTTTTTTATTTAATTGTATAGCAATTTTTTAGAGAGCTATATAAGTCAACGACTAACGAAACATAGTATTTTTTTTAACGGAAATAGTAGAAAATAGGTCAATATAAAAAGTTTAAGAAAGTATATAGGCTAATTTTTAGTTATAGAAATTAATAGGTCATAACTTGTCAAGTTATGGTTCATAACCAGATAAGTTATGGACAGACTTGTTAAGTTATGGTTCATAGCCAGACAAGTTATGGACAAAAATCGCGAATTATGGACAATAACTTGTCAAGTTATGGTTCATAACTAGACAAGTTATGGACGAAAACTGTAATTTGGCCTATTTATTAACTTATGTAAACTATTGGCCTATTAATTTTAATTCATCTCAAGTATTGGCCTATTTCTCTCTTTCTCCCTTTTTTTAATTAATAAAAATACTTGGAGATGACAAATCATTTTTTGCGTTTACAAAGAATGCAATATAATTATGTGTTCCATCTCATCTACTTCGATATTAATTATGGATAACACGACAGATTTATGTGTGTTGACGATACGTGATTACAACCTTCTAAATGAATGAATTGAGGGAGAAAATTCACTACCAATTTCCAATTAGTATTCCTCCAAAACAGTAAAAATCTATTAAAATATTGTAAAAATACTAAAAATATTTTCTGAAGCTCAACACTTTGTATTAACTATTCAATCTTCATAAAGCGTGAAGGTTGAATGTAATAAAACATTTATGTTAAATAATAATGACTTTTAAAAAAATATAACACTGTATCTACATAAAATGAAAATCTAAAAGAAAGTATGGATTTTTTAAAATCAATTTCATAATAATAAATGTGTTTTTACATTTCAACTTTTTTAAATTACAGTCATAAAGGACAGTAGTTTTTGCCTTATATATAGTTTTAATGGAACTTTATCAGTTCAACTAGTTGATACCTTAGATTATAGGTTCTACCATTTGAATTCAATTTAAGCATCTTTGTTAGTCATTTTATTAGTTTTAGTTGCATTACAAAAGTACAAATAAAGCAATATTAATTAATTTGATTAAAACCCATCTCGTCACCACTTAGTTAAAGAAAAGTTGGTGCCAGTAGGCCTAATTAAGAACTAGCTTACACTAATATAAATATAATTCTCTACTTTTGGTGTTAGTTAGATCATGTGTTTATGTTATTTCTAAATTCGTTATCTTCTTTCCCAAGCGTGCATGTATTGGCTCTTCGAACCCTACAGGGACAAGACTGACCTCAACCCCTTCAACTTGGAGAAGACATAATAAATTAAATTAAATTAAGTACATTTCTGTTTTACTTTATTTTCTATACTATATTGCGTATGATATAGTTTTGTTAATTAATTTAATTTGTTGGTTGAATATATATATATATATATATATATATATATATTATTACTACAAAAGCATATATTCTAGTCCGGTAAATGCA